TTAAAAACTGGGCAGGGTGAATAGAGTTCTGTTCATGATGCTCATGAAGGGTGCATCCCCACTGTGGGTCACTGGTCAGAAGCTCCTGCCTCTGTGCCAGGAGGAACACACCAGAGAAGTGAGGGCAAGACTACTTACCTAGACACCGAACAGCACAGAAGAACCTAGGGAAGTTCAGGACTTCTGGGCTGCCCCATCCTCGGATAGTCAACATTTCAAGAGGCTGCCGGTCTTGACGTTTTCCAGGGAGCCTGGACCCCTGAGCCTGTCCGCTCCTCTTGCTGTTCCCCCTTCATACCACGCGGTGGCACCAGAGAGCAGGGTATGCTCTGTAGAACGAAGGGAGAAACCGCACGGGGAATGTGGCTTCCAGAATAGACATACTAAATCTTTATGGAGTTTTACAACCTCTGGACGCAGCCCATACCCTCATCAGGGAGGCTTGTAGTCACTCTTCCTCACTTCCTGTGATTTCCCTGACACTGCCCTTGGGGGAGTGTGTCTCTCCCTCATCCATTCCTTTACCCAGCCAGCGCAGGGCTCCCCAGCAGCTCCAGGTACTTCAGTACATTTTTCCCCCTGTAATCTTTGTTTTCCTAAAATTCACACACACGACCAAATACAAGTGGGAACTACAACCTATGCAGGGGGACCTGACAAGTACAGCCTTGAACATGATTTTCTAGATCAGTGGTCATACCACGAGGCAGCTGAGTATCCATTAACCTCCCTCTTCAGATGTCTCACTACGGTAGCCGAGTCCACAGAGTGGGCGGGGGCTTGGGGGCGTGGTCAGCTGCTGCCCGCTTAGCGCCCCTTTGCAGCTGTTACTGCTGCCCTGGGACTGAAGTGGCCTTTCTTTCTGAGTCCAGCAGGTGGCGACAAAGCATAGAGCCAAGCGTGCTCCTGTGCTTGGTCACCCGAGATGCTTCTTTCCTGGATCCAAACAGAAGTTGCAAACCGGGAGAGAGACCCTAGGCTGGGACCAATTTGCCAAAAAGAACAGCTGATCACATGTATGGCTCTGGATCTTAGGGTGGCTCAGACTCAGTTTCCCCTTCAGAACTCCCAGCCTCTGAAGGAAGAAGTGGCCTAGACGTTACTAGCTGCAGAGCGGCTCTCTCAATACTCACTTCTGGAGCTTAAGCAGTGTTTCTGTCTCTGGAGTAGAACTGGTGACCTCTCCTGACTTCCTCCATTTAACAAACATTCTACTTTACATAAACTACTCCTTACTGGGTGGGATAGCAAAGCCTTGGATCTGTAGCTTACCAGCTGTCTGTCAACAGCACTTTACTTCTCTGAGGTCCATGTCCCTTTCTAAGGAGTAACCAGAGGACACCCCTGGTGACCGGTTCAGGACCCAAGCTATCTCACCCAGTAAAGGGGTATG